GAAAAGCCAGATTAGACTTTGCCAAAAAACATCTAAAAAAAACAGACCAGTTCTGGAAAAGCATTCTTTGGACGGATGAAAACTAAGATGAATCTGTACCAGAATGACAAAGAAGAAAGTGTGGAGAAGACTTGGAACAGCTCATGATCCAAAGCACACAACGTCCTCTGTAGAACATGGTGGAGGCAGTGTGATGGCATGGGCATGCATGGCTTCCAGTGGCACTGGGTCATTGGTAAAGAAAAATAAAATGGTACTGCTCTACCTTAATAACGAATTTGAAATAGGTAAATGAATAGAATGGTAAGAAAAAATGCAGGAAGTGAACAAATAGATGAGTGGATCATAGATATGACTCAATCTAGTGGATGTAAAAGAAATGTACAGTAATATAGACTAGAAAATCTACAATTTCTGGGGAAATTGTGTGAAGTGTTCTTGCAGCCAATCGTAACCAAGGGATTGATGAAATGTAAGCAGTGCACATGGCAAGCCTGACAGAGGGAGAAATGCATTTCATCTTGTATTTTGCAGCTCACAATCAGCCTCGCTGACTCATCTGCCTGTGAGTCATGTTTGGTTGCTATAGCAACTCACTCAGTCAGGAAGCTGACAGGCTTTTTGTAAACACACTGCTCCAACTTGCCAACTTCACTGGCGATTGCCATCTTCAAACAGTTGTAGTTTTAAAAGTATAAATGTTACTGCGAAGAGCTTGATATTGCAAGAATCACAAGAAACAGACCTACATTTTGATGTATAGTATGTCTCTGAAATATTAAAAATGAAGGCACAGTCGCAGTTTAAAAAATGTCCCTTAAAATTTCAGGTGGCTGTGAGTGAAGTTTCAATGAAAGTCAATGGGAGGGGTGAGTTGCAAACAAATGGTCATATTGTGCAAACTATCAGGACTATGGCTTAGCCGTGAACATTTTTAGTGGCAGCAGGGATAGCTGAACGTTTTGATATACGATTTGTGTAGGTGGGCTTGAAAATGAGGGAGTGATGGCAGTTTAGAAATTGCCCTTCAAATCTGAGGTGACTAGAGTGGAGTTTCAATGAATGTCAATGGGCGGCGTGAGTTGCAAACAAATGGTCATATTGTGCAAACTATCAGGACTATGGCTTAGCCGTGAACATTTTAGTGGCAGCAGGGATAGCTGAACGTTTTGATATAAGATTTGTGTAGGTGGACTTGAAAATGAGGGAGTGATGGCAGTTTAGAAATTGCCCTTCAAATTTGAGGTGACTAGAGTGGAGTTTCAATGAATGTCAATGGGCGGCGTGAGTTGCAAACAAATGGTCATATTGTGAAAACTATCAGGACTATGGCTTAGCCGTGAGACATTTTTAGTGGCAGCAGGGATAGATGAACGTTTTGATATAAGATATGTGTAGGTGGACTTGAAAATGAGGGAGTGATGGCAGTTTAGAAATTGCCCTTCAAATTTGAGGTGACTAGAGTGGAGTTTCAATGAATGTCAATGGGCGGCGTGAGTTGCAAACAAATGGTCATATTGTGAAAACTATCAGGACTATGGCTTAGCCGTGAACATTTTTAGTGGCAGCAGGGATAGCTGAACGTTTTGATAAACGATTTGTGTAGGTGGGCTTGAAAATGACAGAGTGATGGCAGTTTACAAATCATGTTCTGATTTTTCCTTACACCCTGTAGCTGTGCTGTGCTCCCACTCTAGTTGCGCCATTCATTCCTATGGGAAAATTTCACCACAAAAAAACCGCGATATTTCGTGAACGATTCGGCGAAACGTTCCACAAAGTAACAGCAATCCGATCGGGAACAATCCGCACGTTTTGCTATATTACTTGTCTTTGTAGTGTAAAAACTGTGGGAGGAGTTAGCGTGGCAAATTTGGCTATAATAAGAAACGGAATATATTTGTGAGATAACAATGAGGGTTCCTGGAAGAACACTTAATTAGGATCCCTCAATGGCAAAATATGAATAAAGTGAAAAAATAAACATAAAGGGAATAGCAAGTGAACAAAAAATGAATAAATGAGCTCAATACAGTGAATAATAAAAACTAAGCATGACCTAATTGGCGAATACAATCCAAAAAATATGTAGTAAAGGTACTAAGTTGTATAAAAACACATGACATACAAACCGTGCCAAAGGCAATGTGAAGAAACAACAATGTGGCCGAAAACAATATGTGTGCACAGTCCAAACCAGGGGCGGACTGACAACTCATGGGGCCCCCGGGCAATAGGGGATCATGGGGCCCCTGTGTCCTTGCCCAAACGCAAAAAAGCCTATGAAAAAGGTACCAGAGGCATCTCATGGGGCCCCCTACTGACCCCGGGCCCTCGGGCAGTGCCCTAGTTTCCAAATGGTCAGTCCGCCCCTGGTCCAAACAAACTCTGTGTTCATTCAATAGGTGAGAATGTATAGTGATCACTGCAACAGATAATCCACCACCAGCTAGCGTGCACGCTCACCTCCACGCTGCGACCCCCAGGGATCTCTGAGCAAGCTTCTATATTTATAACCAACATACACTATATTGCCAAAAGTATTGGTCGGCCGGCCTTTCCACACACATGACCTTTAATGGCCCCCCAGTCTTAGTCCGTAGGGTTCAATATTGAGTTGGCCCCGCCCTTCCCACACACATGACCTTTAATGGCCCCCCAGTCTTAGTCCGTAGGGTTCAATATTGAGTTGGCCCCGCCCTTCCCACACACATGACCTTTAATGGCCCCCCAGTCTTAGTCCGTAGGGTTCAATATTGAGTTGGCCCCGCCCTTTCCACGCACATGAACGTTAATGGCCCCCAGTCTTAGTCCGTAGGGTTCAATATTGAGTTGGCCCCGCCCTTTGCACCTATAACAGCTTCAACTCTTCTGGGAAGGCCGTCCACAAGGTTTAGGAGGGTGTCTATGGGAAGGTTGGACCATTCTTCCAGAAGCACATTTGTCAGGTCAGGCACTGATGTCGGGGGAGGAGGCCTGGCTCGCAGTCTCCGCTCTAATTCATCCCAAAGGTGTTCTATGGGGTTGAGGTCAGGACTCTGTGCAGGACAGTCAAGTTCCTCCACCCCAAACTGGCTCCTCCATGTCTTTATGGACCTTGCTTTGTGCACTGGTGCGCAGTCATGTTGGAACAGGAAGGGGCCATCCCCAAACTCTTCCCACAAAGTTGGGAGAATGAAATTGTCCAAAATGTCTTGGTATGCTGATGCCTTAAGAGTTCTCTTCACTGGAACTAGGGGGCCAAGCCCAACACCTGAAACAAAGTTTCTAAACAAGGGGCCAACTGAGGTCAGCGGGAGTAGAAATTGTCCTGGTGTAAGTGGGATTTAACAATGCCCCATCATTGGTTTCATTAGGAGCAATATTGCCCCTTCATTGGTATTAATGGGAGTACATATTCCCAGTTGTTAGTGACATTGGGAGGAATAGTGTCCCATCATTGGTATCAGTGGGAGGAATAGTGTCCCATCATTGGTATCAGTGGGAGGAATAGTGCCCCATCATTGGTATCAGTGGGAGGAATAGTGTCCCCATCATTGGTGTCAGTGGGAGGAATGGACCCATCATTGGTGTCAGTGGGAGGAATAGTGCCCATCCCCCCATCATTGGTGTCAGTGGGAGGAATAGCATCATTGGTATCAGTGGGAGGAATAGTCCCATCGTTGGTGTCAGTGGGAGGAATAGTGCCCCATCATTGGTGTCAGTGGGAGGAATAGTGCCCCATCATTGTGGGAGGAATAGCGTCCCATCGTTGGGGTGGGAAATAGTGGTGTCAGTGGGAGGAAAGCGCCCATCGTTGGTGTCAGTGGGAGGAATAGCGTCCCATCGTTGGTGTCAGTGGGGGTGGGAATAGCGCCCCATCGTTGGTGTCAGTGGGAGGAATAGCGCGCCCCATCGTTGGTGGAAGGAATCAGTGGGAGGAATAGCGCCCCATCGTTGGTGTCAGTCAGTTGGTGTCAGGGGAATAGCGCCCCATCGTTGGTGTCAGTGGGAGGAATAGCGCCCCATCATGGTGTCAGTGGGAGGAATAGCGCCCCATCGTTGGTGTCAGTGGGAGGAATAGCGCCCCAATCGTTGGTGTCAGTGGGAGGAATAGCGCCCCATCGTTGGTGTCAGTGGGAGGAATAGCGCCCCATCGTTGGTGTCAGTGGAAGGAATAGCGCCCCATCGTTGGTGTCAGTGGGAGGAATAGCGCCCCATCGTTGGTGTCAGTGGGAGGAATAGCGCCCCATCGTTGGTGTCAGTGGGAGGAATAGCGCCCCCATCATTGGTGTCAGTGGGAGGAATAGCGCCCCATCATTGGTGTCAGTGGGAGGACATATTCCCAGTTGTTTTGTGAGTGGAATGGTGCCCCAAAGGCCAAATAAAAGCAAGCAAAGGGCTGCATCTGGCCCAGTTTGTTGACCCGTTATAGAGTGAGGGGTTCAGGACTATTTGATACACAACATAGAGCTGAGCACGGCTAAGCAGGGGAGGGGGAGGGGGGATGACCTGGGCTCTGAGGAAGTGAGGTGAATGATGCTGGCCTTCAGACTGAGGACATCTAGTGGCAGAAAAAACATTGGGGAGTAGAAGCCAGCTTTATGTGTCCCATGTGTAGGCGTTTCTGCTGTATGAATGAACGTTCCCGGGTCCGGGGTCACATGAACACACGTCGCTGGGCTCTATTATATGGCCTTTATAGGGCTTCTAAAGTTCATAAGAACCAAGATTGCGGCCTGTCCAGCTGCTGTATTACAGTCGGTGTTACGTCACATCCCTACTATATACTCAGCTCATCGGCCCCAAACAAAGGCTACAGGACTCCTGGTCTCCGATAGCATGGCGCCTCTCCTTCGGGGGGGCGGGATCCTCTCCAGGGGTTTGTCCTCTAGCGGTTGGCTCCGCACACAATGCTCCGGGCTGGTTCGGTGCCCCGTGTCTCCGCAAACATGGCGGCGGGGAAGGCGCTATAGAGACGCTTTGTCCTCCGGGCGGAAGCTGCTCTCCTGTCGCTCAAGATGGCGGCTGGCATGTACCTGGAGCATTATCTGGACAGTGAGTGATGAGGAGAGGGGGGCACACTGGGTACATGCTGAGGGGGTGTATGGGGGTTATCCTGCAGAGCGTTCCTCCCTCCTGTGCCTGCAGAGCGTTCCTCCCTCCTGTGTCTGCAGAGCTTTACTGCTTTCTGTGTTTGCAGGGCATGTTCTCTCCTATGTATGCAGAGCATTGCTGTTTCCTGATTCTGCAGAGTGTTGCTCCTTCTTGTGCCTGCAGACCATTCTTTACTCCTGTGCCTGCAGAGCATTGCTCCCTCTTGTGCCATCAGCTGGCCATACACAGGTTCTCCTCTATCATAGCTGCAGTCTCTGACCATCTCCTGTATCATATCTGCAGTCTCTGACCATCTCCTGTATCATATCTGCAGTCTCTGACCATCTCCTGTATCCTGTCTGCAGTCTCTGACCATCTACTGTATCGTGTCCGTAGTCTCTGACCATCTACTGTATCTCTGTGTCCGTAGTCTCTGACCATCTCCTGTATCCTGTCTGCAGTCTCTGACCATCTCCTGTATCCTGTCTGCAGTCTCTGACCATCTCCTGTATCCTGTCTGCAGTCTCTGACCATCTCCTGTATCCTGTCTGCAGTCTCTGACCATCTCCTGTATCCTGTCTGCAGTCTCTGACCATCTCCTGTATCCTGTCTGCAGTCTCTGACCATCTCCTGTATCCTGTCCGCAGTCTCTGACCATCTCCTGTATCGTGTCCGCAGTCTCTGACCATCTCCTGTATCGTGTCCGCAGTCTCTGACCATCTCCTGTATCCTGTGTCTGCAGTCTCTGACCATCTCCTGTATCCTGTCTGCAGTCTCTGACCATCTCCTGTATCGTGTCCGCGGTCTCTGACCATCTCCTGTATCGTGTCCGCGGTCTCTGACCATCTCCTGTATCGTGTCCGCGGTCTCTGACCATCTCCTGTATCGTGTCCGCGGTCTCTGACCGTCTCCTGTATCGTGTCCGCGGTCTCTGACCGTCTCCTGTATCGTGTCCGCGGTCTCTGACCGTCTCCTGTATCGTGTCCGCGGTCTCTGACCGTCTCCTGTATCGTGTCTGCAGTCTCTGACCGTCTCCTGTATCGTGTGCAGTCTCTGACCATCTCTGTATCGTGTCCGTCTCTGACCGTCTCTTATTGTGTCTGCAGTCTCTGACCGTCTCCTGTATCGTGTCTGCAGTCTCTGACCGTCTCCTGTATCGTGTCTGCAGTCTCTGACCGTCTACTGTAGTGTGTCTGCAGTCTCTGACCGTCTCCTGTATATGTGTCTGCAGTCTCTAACCGTCTCCTGTATCGTGTCTGCATTCTCTGACCGTCTCTTCTATCGTGTCTGCAGTCTCTGACCGTCTCTTGTAGTATGTCTCTCTTGTAGTATGTCGGTCTCTGACAGCTTTCTGTAGCATTTGGTGATGTCTCCTATATCGAGAAGGTTGGCCACTCTTGGCTTCCCGTCCCTACCAGGGGGCACATGTGACAGTGTGACAACCCAGGAGTACAGTTAGGCCATGGTTGTCACACCGTGACCAGAAGTGTCTGTATAAGGACCTTGGTGGCAGGATCATCAGGTACTGGGGGGTATAATAACCTCTTGCATGTTAATGAGTAAAACATCTAGAATAAGAATGGAAGCCGAACCTAAAGACAGAAAGCGTTGCAATTCCGGGAGGAAGACACAGAGCAGACAACTTCTATCTCCCAGTCTGTGAGGTTTTCTATCTGTTGATGTGTGATCTGTACGAGGTGACTGGCTGGTCGATGTAATAATTGTTCCTTGTTTGCAGGTATAGAGAATCTGCCTTTTGAACTGCAGAGGAACTTCCAGCTGATGAGGGACCTGGACCAGAGGACAGAAGGTGAGTGTGTGGGGTCTTCCCGAAGCTGCTGTTTATAAACGGCAGGGTGGGTGGCACTCCAGGGGCGGGTTGCCATTCATAAACGTCACCCGCCTTTTCTAGCTGTGCGCGCTCCTTGGGAGAACACAGCACCGCAATCCGGTGCCCGCTGTGTCCTCCAGACACAGTGAAACACCGATCGTAGGATGGGACCTCTGTACGAGGTCCCGATCATGTGATCAATGATTGGCCAATCAGTGATCACATGCAAAGTAGTAAGCAAGATGTCACTTGTGACATCATTGCTTACTACATGTGAAATCTGTGAATCACAAAGGTCACATGGTACAAGGCTATTCACAACAGCCTTGTACCATGTGACAAGCTGTGACCAATCACAGCTCACTCAGTACTTCTCAATGACTGCAAGAATGCAGCCAGAGAGAAGGAGAAATGATTGCTTTTACATCCTATATGGGTGTAAAAGCAATCAGTGTAAAAAAAATCTTCATCACCCCCCACAAGTAGTACAGTGTCACCATGGTGACACTGTACTGCTAGGGTGACAGTATGTAAAAAAAAAAAAATAATATAAAAAATGTTTAAAAATTATAATTTTTGGTTATAAAAACTAATTTGGATTTTTTTTTTTTTACTAAAAAAATAACTGAATAAATTTTGGCCAAGATTTATGATGAAATATTATTTATTTGCAAAATTTTATAAAAAAAAAAACACTTTTTTTCAAAATTTTTGGACTTTTTCATTTACATAGTAAAAAAAATAAAAATCCCAGCGGTGAATAAATACCACCAAAATAAAGCTTTATCTGTCTCAAAAAAATTCATATGGGTACAGTGTTGCATGACCGCGCAATTGTCATTCAAAGTGTGATAGCGCTGAAAATTGCCCTGGACAGAAAGGGGGCAAAAGTGTCCGGACAGGAAGTGGTTAAACTCCATATACTGTATATTCAGACAAAAAAGATCTTCCACCACCCAGCAGATCTTTGTAGTAGGGATGCACTGAACTTTCGGCGGCTGAAAATAGCTTGGCGATAGGAAAAATTTAGCCAATACAGGGGGCTGTGTGTACTGCAGATGTGTTGGGGGGGCTGTTTAACCGCTTCCGCGCCACCCTACAGCAGAAATACTGCTACATGGCGGCAGGGGTGCGCAAAATCACATATTACAGTTTCGGGTAGGGGGTGTGCGCGTGGCCTTGGCTGGCACCTGGCGATCTCCGAGTATTACCGTCGGGGGAGAGACCTGTATGTGTGCTCCTTCACACTGCTTTGCATGGCTCTGAACAGCAACTTCATTCTCTCCATCAACATCGACGATTTTTAATGCTTATGCTGCTAGCATTATATGTTTGTATGTATATGTGTCTCTTAGATTGTAAGCTCCACGGATCAGGGCCCTCCTATCCCTCTTGTATTGAACTGTATTGTTGCTGTATTGTCTCCCATTATATTGTAAAGTGCTGAGCAAACTGTTGGTGCCATAAATCCTGTATAATAATAATAGTGTTGCATGACCGCGCAATTGTCATTCATAGTGCAACAGCGCTGAAAGCTGGAAATTGGCCTGGACAGGAAGGGGGTAGAAGTGCCCGGTAGGCAGGAAGGGGGGGTAGAAGTGCCCGGTAGGCAGGAAGGGGGTAGAAGTGCCCGGTAGGCAGGAAGGGGGTAGAAGTGCCCGGTAGGCAGGAAGGGGGTAGAAGTGCCCGGTAGGCAGGAAGGGGGTAGAAGTGCCCGGTAGGCAGGAAGGGGGTAGAAGTGCCCTGTAGGCAGGAAGGGGGTAGAAGTGCCCTGTAGGCAGGAAGGGGGTAGAAGTGCCCTGTAGGCAGGAAGGGGGTAGAAGTGCCCGGTAGGCAGGAAGGGGGTAGAAGTGCCCTGTAGGCAGGAAGGGGGTAGAAGTGCCCTGTAGGAAGGGGGTAGAAGGGGGTAGGCAGGAAGGGGGTAGAAGTGCCCTGTAGGCAGGAAGGGGGTAGAAGTGCCCTGTAGGCAGGAAGGGGGTAGAAGTGCCCTGTAGGCAGGAAGGGGGTAGAAGTGCCCTGTAGGCAGGAAGGGGGTAGAAGTGCCCGGTAGGCAGGAAGGGGGTAGAAGTGCCCGGTAGGCTTGTGGTTAAAGCGTCACCTATGAATCATAAAACATACGTGGTTTATCGCTGTTGCATGGGCGGGCTCAATTTTAAAGCGTCACATGTTTGGTATCTATTTACTCGGCGTAACATCATCTTTTATATTTTCAAAAAAAATTGGGTTATGTATTGTTTGTGGGTTCTAAGACCTATGCTAGCCAAAAAGTACTGATTTTAAAATGTAAGCAAAAAGTGCCAGAAATGGCGTTAGGCTGCAGTGGTTAAGGCAGAGCTCTATCCAAAAGGGGAACTTCTGCTTTTAGCTCCCCATTAAGGATTGGCACCTTTGGGGACCGGGGGGGGGGGGGAGCAGGTACCCGAATTTGACAGGTACCCGCTCCCACTTCCGCTGCGATCGCCTAGGCGATCGAAAGCGGAAGTTGTCCTCCCTCCCCGTAGTCTCCTGGGACACAAGACAGGTTCCTAAAGACTACAGGGCCATACACAAAGCGCAGCGCTTCTCGCGCATGCGCACTGAGCACCCAGCTGTGATGCTGCAAGCTGTCACAGCCGGGTGCCCACACTGAATATGACGGAACCAGGGAGAGAAGACGGCTGGTGAAATCAGCCGTGGTGAGGACATTGCTGGACCGAGGGATAGGTACAGTTGTGTTCAAAAATGATAGCAGTGTGTTGAAAAAAGTGAATAAAGCTGAAAATCCTTCTAGTAGCTTTTATTTCCATCCACACAAATGCATTGGGAACACGACACATTCTATTCCAAATCACAACACGAAGAAAAATACATCAAATTTGTGTTGTTCCTCTAAAATAATGGAAGAAAAGTGAATATTAGACGGTTCAAAAAATATCGCAGTGTTTGTATTCTTCTTTACAAACTCAAACATTCACTATATAAACTGAGAAATGTTTGAAGATTTTGCTTTCCTTTGAATGACTTCATGAATATTTGGTTGTAGTCGCACTGTTTCTGAGAACTGCTGTACATCTGTGTTGCATGGAGTCACCCAACTTCTGGCCCCTGTGATCAGGTATTCCAGCCCAGGATGATTGGACCACATTCCATACTTCTCTATTTCTTGGTTTTGCCTCAGAAACTGCATTTTTGATGTCACCCCACAAGTTTTTTCTATTGGATGAAGATCCGGGGATTGGGCTGGCCACTCCATAACGTCCATCTTGTTGGTCTGGAACCAAGATGTTGCACGTTTACTGGTGTGTTTGGGGTCGTTGTCTTGTTGGAACCCCCATTTCAAGGGCATTTCCTCTTCAGCATAAGGCAGCATGACCTCTTCAAGTATTCTGATGGATTCAAACTGATCCATGATCCCTGGTATGCGATAAATAGGCCCAACACCGTAGTATGAGAAACATCCCCATATCATGATGCTTGCACCACCATGCTTCACGGTCTTCACAGTGTACTGTGGCTTGAATTCAGTGTTTGGGGGTCGTCTGACAAACTGTCTCCGCCCACTAGACCCAAAAAGAACAATCTTACTTCCATCAGTCCACAAAATGTTGCGCCATTTCTCTTTAGGCCAGTCAATGTGCTCTTTGGCAGATTGTAACCTCTTCAGCACACGTCTTTTTCCCAACAGTGGGACTTTGCGGGGGCTTCTTGCAGATAGCTTGGCTTCACATCGGGGTCTTCTAATTGTAACAGTCCTCACAGGGAACGTCACACCTTCTTTCATCTTCCTGGAGCTGATTGTTGGCTGAGTCCGCCCCATTTTGGCTATTCTATCCATTCCAATGGTAGTTTTTCGCTTTCCTCCACGTCTTTCAGGTTTTGGTTGCCATTTTAAAGCATTTGCGATCATTTTAGCTGAGCAGCCGATCATTTTCTGCACTTCTTTATTTGTTTTCTCCTCTCCAATCAACTTTTTAATCAAGGTACGCTGTTCTTCTGAACAATGTCTGGAACGACCCATTTTTCCTCAGAATTTCAGAGAGAAATGCACTGTAACCAGCATGTACAACATTTGCTGCCTTCCTTCCTTAAATAAGGGCAATAATTGCCACCTGTTTTTCAAAGAATGAATGACCTCACTAATAGAACTCCACACGGCTATTATTTTGAACACGCCCCTTTCAATGAATGATTCAATGACACAGAATCAGCAGCATACATGTCATGACTGTTGGGTCTGTTGGATTTCTATGACTCTACTACACCTGCTAGGAAATTATTTGCCATGTAGAAATATCATTTCCACCAAAAACAGCGATTGATCCGGTTAGTGATGTCTGACTGCTAGTATTTTGAACACAACTGTAAGTGTCTGTATTTTAAAAGTTAGCAGCTACAGTTTTAGTAGCTGCTAACTTTTTTTTTTTTTTTTTTTTTTTTTTTAGGGCGGAGCTCCGCTTTAATGACAGTATCGATTTTGAAATGTTTGTAGATCGCAGCACAAGTCGGGAATTGTACATTTACATCAGAGAGGATTGTTTCATGACGCAGGGTCCCTATTCATGTGTTTGAAGTTTAGAACATATATGTGAACAATGTACCCGAGCGCACTCTGACTGGCAAATTATTCTCCCCCCCCCCCCCCTCTTCTAGATTTGAAGTGTCAAATAGACCGGCTGTCCTCTCAATATATGAGCAATGCCCGCACACTGAGCTCCGAGGAAAAGCTGCAGCTCCTTCGGCAGGTACAGGAGGCGTACGGCAAGTGCAAGGAGTATGGAGATGACAAAGTCCAGCTGGCCATGCAGACGTATGAAATGGTGAGTGAGTCGGGAAGAACGCACAGCGCACACTTTGTAGGTGTTAGTCTGAGTACTTGTCTGTGTTCCCCTCAAAGTAACCAATCAGCTTCTCTCTTTACACTGTTCCCATGGGGTTCAAAAGAGGGCACTGGGCAGATGCTCCTGAACCCCCCCCCAGCCTAGCTGCCATCATCATGCGCTGAGCTCTATGTAATCCACATTGTCCCAGACTTTGGGTGACGTGCCCGGGCCATGCCACCCCACCCTACACGGACTACTCCAGGGGGCCCTTTATCTGTTTTAGGGGACCCGCTGTGGTGTGATTCCAGGACTGTTACTGATTTTGTAGATTTTGACGGATGCAGCCGTCTCGGCACAGGAATCCAGTGTTCCAATAGCGATTTTTACTATTTTTAGGCACTTGAAGGTATCACTTCAGCAATACGTTTTTGCCTGCGATTATTTCACACCCCCTCCCTATTCAAAGGATAAGTTCATCTCTGGGAACATGTTACATATACCACCCATTTTTAGGGTGGAATATGTAACATGATCAAATAGCCACAGCCACCACCCACCGACACCCCCCCCCCCCCCTCCGCCCCTTCCTGACAGGAGAAGTCTCCCCCCTCCCTTCCCACTATCTGTCAGATTTGAAAACAACATGGCCATGTGGGGCTCCGCCACACGGCCGCGTCATTCATTCACAGACTTCCATAAATTAATGAACTGCAAGTCCCGACAGCCTTAGTGGCTGAGGAGCACCATGGTAGTTGATTGAAGCTTCCAGTCGGAATATCTGCTTGACTGTACATCCCCTACATCCTGTGTATCCCGTACATCCCGTACATCCCCTGCATCCTTTACATCCTGTACAATCACCTACATTCCGTACAATCCCCTACATCCCGTACATCCTGTACAATCGCCTACATCCCGTACAATCCCCTACATCCCGTACAATCCCCTACATCCCGTACAATCCCCTACATCCCGTATAATCCTGTACAATCCCCTACATCCCGTACAATCCCCTACATCCCAGTATAATCCTGTACAGTCCCCTACATCCCGTACAATCCCCTACATCCCGTATAATCCTGTACAATCCCCTACATCCCGTACAATCCCCTACATCCCGTACAGTCCCCCTAATCCTGTACAATCCCCTACATCCCGTACAATCCCCTACATCCCGTACAAATCCCCTACATCCTGTACAATCCCCTACATCCCGTACAATCCCCTACATCCCGTACAGTCCCCTACATCCCGTACATCCCATACACCCTGTACGGCAAGCAGATAGATCTGTAGAAGACCTGCATGACATCAGTGATCTACTGATCGCTGGTGCAATACTTTCCAGGCTCCTGTAGACAAAAGTAATAAATGCACATTTTTTTTACCTGCAAAAAAAAAATGTGCATTTATTACTTTTGTCTATAAGGTGAACTTATCTTTTAAAATCACTTTTTTTTTTTTTTTTTTTTTTTTTTTTGCATTGCAGCCTGAAATGAAGATAGACAGCTTTTGTTTTATCCAGCTGAAAGAACACCAACATGCCAGGAAAAAACTAAAACAAAACCCCAGAATTACTGAGTTGGAAAAAGGATCCCCCCCCCCCCCTTGTGTCAGTGTTTTGTTGAACCCTCTTTTGCTTTAATTCCAGCTTTTAGTCTGTTGGGAGATGTCTCCACTAACTTTGCACAGCTAGACTTTGCAACATATGCCCACTCTTCTTTGCATAACTGCATTCGCTATATCCGCTCTCCCTGGACCCCCCATTCGCTATATCCGCTCTCCCCGGACCCCCCATTCGCTATATCCGCTCTCCCCGGACCCCCCATTCGCTATATCCGCTCTCCCCGGACCCCCCATTCGCTATATCCGCTCTCCCCGGACCCCCCATTCGCTATATCCGCTCTCCCCGGACCCCCCATTCGCTATATCCGCTCTCCCCGGACCCCCCATTCGCTATATCCGCTCTCCCCGGACCCCCCATTCGCTATATCCGCTCTCCCCGGACCCCCCATTCGCTATATCCGCTCTCCCCGGACCCCCCATTCGCTATATCCGCTCTCCCCGGACCCCCCATTCGCTATATCCGCTCTCCCCGGACCCCCCATTCGCTATATCCGCTCTCCCCGGACCCCCCATTCGCTATATCCGCTCTCCCCGGACCCCCCATTCGCTATATCCGCTCTCCCCGGACCCCCCATTCGCTATATCCGCTCTCCCCGGACCCCCATTCGCTATATCCGCTCTCCCCGGACCCCCCATTCGCTATATCCGCTCTCCCCGGACCCCCCCATTCGCTATATCCGCTCTATATCCCTCTCCCCGGACCCCCCATTCGCTATATCCGCTCTCCCCGGACCCCCCATTCGCTATATCCGCTCTCCCCGGACCCCCCATTCGCTATATCCGCTCTCCCCGGACCCCCCATTCGCTATATCCGCTCTCCCCGGACCCCCCATTCGCTATATCCGCTCTCCCCGGACCCCCCATTCGCTATATCCGCTCTCCCCTCTCGCTATATCCGCTCTCCCCGGACCCCCCATTCGCTATATCCGCTCTCCCCCGGACCCCCCCATTCGCTATATCCGCTCTCCCCGGACCCCCCATTCGCTATATCCGCTCTCCCCGGACCCCGCATTCGCTATATCCCCCCCCGGATTCGCTATATCCGCTCTCCCCGGACCCCGCATTCGCTATATCCGCTCTCCCCGGACCCCGCATTCGCTATATCCGCTCTCCCCGGACCCCCCATTCGCTATATCCGCTCTCCCCGGACCCCGCATTCGCTATATCCGCTCTCCCCGGACCCCGCATTCGCTATATCCGCTCTCCCCGGACCCCGCATTTCGCTATATCCGCTCTCCCCGGACCCCCCATTCGCTATATCCGCTCTCCCCGGACCCCCCATTCGCTATATCCGCTCTCCCCGGACCCCCCATTCGCTATATCCGCTCTCCCCGGACCCCCCATTCGCTATATCCGCTCTCCCCGGACCCCCCATTCGCTATATCCGCTCTCCCCGGACCCCCCGCATTCGCTATATCCGCTCTCCCCGGACCCCCCATTCGCTATATCCGCTCTCCCCGGACCCCCCATTCGCTATATCCGCTCTCCCCGGACCCCCCATTCGCTATATCCGCTCTCCCCGGACCCCCCATTCGCTATATCCGCTCTCCCCGGACCCCCCATTCGCTATATCCGCTCTCCCCGGACCCCCCATTCGCTATATCCGCTCTCCCCGGACCCCCCATTCGCTATATCCGCTCTCCCCGGACCCCCCATTCGCTATATCCGCTCTCCCCGGACCCCCATTCGCTATATCCGCTCTCCCCGGACCCCCCATTCGCTATATCCGCTCTCCCCGGACCCCCCATTCGCTATATCCGCTCTCCCCGGACCCCCCATTCGCTATATCCGCTCTCCCCGGACCCCCCATTCGCTATATCCGCTCTCCCCGGACCCCCCATTCGCTATATCCGCTCTCCCCGGACCCCGCATTCGCTATATCCGCTCTCCCCGGACCCCGCATTCGCTATATATCCGCTCTCCCCGGACCCCCCATTCGCTATATCCGCTCTCCCCGGACCCCGCATTCGCTATATCCGCTCTCCCCGGACCCCCCATTCGCTATATCCGCTCTCCCCGGACCCCGCATTCGCTATATCCGCTCTCCCCGGACCCCGCATTCGCTATATCCGCTCTCCCCGGACCCCGCATTCGCTATGTCCGCTCTCCCCGGACCCCGCATTCGCTATGTCCGCTCTCCCCGGACCCCGCATTCGCTATGGTCCGCTCTCCCCGGACCCCGCATTCGCTATGTCCGCTCTCCCCGGACCCCGCATTCGCTATGTCCGCTCTCCCCGGACCCCGCATTCGCTATGTCCGCTCTCCCCGGACCCCGCATTCGCTATGTCCGCTCTCCCCGGACCCCGCATTCGCTATATCCGCTCTCTCCGGACCCCCGCATTCGCTATATCCGCTCTCCCCGGACCCCGCATTCACTATATCTGGTCTCCCACAGTACAGAGAACATGGAAGTGCAATTATTTTAGTAAATATAAACTGCTAAATTAATTTTCTCAACAGCAGTATATAGCAGTCTTTTGACTTCTATCAGTGTCCAGCAGAGCACTGGTTAAAGCTTGTAGGAGGAGCTTTCTTTCTGCTCTAGGAGGCTGCAGAACCCCTGACCTCTGTCTGGACAGTGCTGATTGGCCCTGTGTTGATCACATGCAGGAAAAAAAAAACTTTTCTAGCAATACACAACAAACTGAGCATGTGCAGAGTGACTCCACACGATATGTCTTATCAGGTGATAAGAGGAGGACACTTTAAGAAAGGGAGGATCAGAGAAGACAGGATCAAACAGTATTTTTACACAATGCAGAGGATTAACCCCTTAGGTCCCACAGTGAGTATAACAAGCACGCTTTACTGCATCTACAGGCTGATTGTACTGTTGTGGGTTTAGTAACACTTTAAATGAGCTCCTAAAAAATAAATTGCTAGGCAGTAGAGCTTTTATGGCAGACTTTGTATGTCTCTTCCCCTAGCAATTCTTTCTGCATTTCCAGAGGCCACATACCATGGGCAGTGCACATTTGCGGTCTATGAGAGAATGGCGCCAGGAGATAATAAAACCGCCACGTGCAAGGGCAGGATATATATTGTCAAAAGAGAGAGGATACCGACCTGAAAAAAGGAGCTGAGAAGAAAGGCAGCAGTGACGGGGGGGGGGGGGCCAGGGAGCTGTCAGTGCTGGAGCTGCAAATCCCGGAGGTCATTCCGCCACAATGTGCCAGCTTGCTATGGAGAGTTCCATACTTTGGCTGGAGCTGCCAACTCTTGGCTACTTTACAGCTCTGCTGCAAGGCAGGTTTGCTTTAGTGGACATGGGTGGGTTTTACTGTTTTTAAATCTTTATTTTCCCTGTCCCCCAGGTAGATAAACACATTCGGAGGCTGGACACGGACCTGGCTCGGTTCGAAGCTGACCTGAAGGAGAAGCATATTGAGTCCAGTGATTACGACAGCTGCTCCAGCAAAGGGAAAAAGAGTGAGTGGCTGACCATGACCATTCAATTTGTTGTTGATTCATCAAGTTCATGCTCATTGAAGGTCTCTAGGTGTGGCTCAGCGGGGGGGTCGTGTGGGAGCTCAGCGGGGGGGGTCGTGTGGGAGCTCAGCGGGGGGTCGTGTGGGAGCTCAGTCGGGGGGGGGGGTCGGGGGTGTGGGAGCTCGGGGGGGGCGTGCGGGAGCTCGGGGGGGGGGGGGGGGGGGGGGGTAGATCGTGCGCGGAGCTCAGCCGGGGGTCGTGTCGGAGCTCAGTAGGGCTGTAAAAGCAATCATTTCTCTTTATCTCTGGATGCATTCTTGCAGCCGTTGAGAAATACTGAGAGAGCGCTGTGATTGGTCACATGGTACAAGGCTGTTGTGAATAGCCCTGTACCATGTGATCTCTGTGATCATTCACAGATTTCACACGTAATAAGCAATGATGTCAGAAGTGACATCTTGCTTACACCTATTCATGTGATCACTGATTGCCCAATCAGTGATCACATGATCGGGACCTCACACAGAGGGTCCTGTACAATGACCGGACACACAGTGGGGGGCACCGGATCCCAGGGAGCATGCAAAATCCAAAATGGCAGGCGCCGTTTATGAACGGCAACCCGCCCCTGCGCTGCCACCGTCCGGCCGTTTATATACATGGGCCAGACGGGAAGTGGTTAATTCAATAATATAATCAAAC